GGGTCACCGATCACGTTAGTGGGAGTTCAATTAGTAGTAGCGGCTTCACTATGACAGGTAATATTGACATGGGGGTTATAGTATTACAGGTCTCAAAGGTGGATCGGTTGGGGATACCAGTGCACTTTCCGCTAATACTATATACTCCTGGTGTAAACAGTTCCTAAAGCGTAATGGTGGTACTCTAGATAGTGATCTTGATGTTAACGATTATGAGTTAACTAGGGTAGGTAGTCCTACTACGGACGGTTCTGCTGTAAATAAGAAATGGGCAATTGATGAGTTCATGAGTAGTAGAGGTGGACTGGTAAAGGGTGATTTGGATATGGGAGATTCAAGTGGTGTTCTTGATCTAAGGGATCCGGTAAATGATAAGGATGCAGTTAACAAGCAATGGGTAGAAAAGAATTTCCTAAAACCTTCCTCAGGTCTTGTACAATCAGTGGCCGATAAGAGATACGTAAGAATAAACCGTCACATTCACGCAGAGTGGATCTGGGGTTATCGTGGCGTATCAGTTGCAGCAACAAGGTACTAGGCTTACTGTCAAGATCAGATTCCACCTTCACGGAGAACAGATACTATTAATAATATGACAGACCTCAACCTTGAGTCATGCAATTACTATTAAATCAGATTTCCCAACTTTATCAACTGTTCTAAATATACCCTTAGGACTCATCCTGTGGGCTACTGTATGGGAAAAGCAGTCTAGTGGAAAATTTACCCAGGTTAAAAAGGAAATCGTTCTCAGAACAATAGACTTAAGAAGACTGTCACACACTTGGTTCAACGGAACTTACACAAGTAATGGTGGAAGTACAGCTTGCTATGTCTTCAAGCGTAATAGTATGTTCTATTTAGGAGACCAGGCTGAGTTGGTAGATAACACGCTAGCATGGTGTATTATAGTTAAACCGGAACACTCAATGCCAACTGGTTCGAGTATGGACTTGTCTTTTTGCTGGTCATTGCGGTATTCAGGGTCAGGTGGATAACATGTGTTGTATCATAAAGTATCATGTCAAAGTGGCGTTCATGCTTTTCATGTATGGGTAAAATCTGTGGCTGTCGTGAAAGGTCTAACAAAAATGGAAAGGTTGGTGATATAAATTTCTCTGTATCCAATAATATTAAGGTTGAAGTGACCACACAGGGTGAAAAGGATGATGCCAACAGTGTATCCGAACTACAAGGACCCCCTGCCTTGTGTACCCCCAAGGAGGAAATAAAAGTTGTTGAGAAGGCTTTGGAATAGGAAGGTTGGACGATATTGGAAAAGTGTACGATAATCGTATTAGAATCTCAGCTTTGAGATAAGTTAAATGAAAAATAATTAATTTTAATGAAAGGAAAAAAACTGGCGTTCCTGAAAAACCAAGATGGTCTAGAACCGTATAACAATAAAAAAAATTTAATTAAATCAGGTGTGTAATTTTTCACGTTCACGTGAACGAAAATCCTAGTGGTCTAGACACGCCAGTTCCTATACTACTTCTGTTTTCTAGCTGTTTAATAAAGACATGAGTACGTTTGCTGCATCATTCTCGTCTGTCTGTTCATTCCGCTGTTCGCTTGGTTCGATTCTCACATCTACATCGTTGACACAAACTGTTTCCGAGCTCGTGTCTTTTGTGCTTGTGTGTCGTGTTTGATCAACAGCTGAGAGGGCGTGTCGCATATTTTGATCGACTGTCGCATGGCCATAGTGATTCATAGACACAGGTTGAAATGAACTCGCTTTCAATGCGATTTCTAACTGGGCATTCTCTTCTTCTTCAGTGCATGGTTCACAGTTAAGTAAATTGAAGCTAGAGCTACTGTTACACGGCATGGCGGTCAGTGAAGACGTTGGTACGGACATATCGGGAAAGCATATTCCGTGTCGCCTTTCCAGGACGCCTTTTGCAGGATTTTCATGTTCGAGACGTCGGCTTTTGGGATGTGATAAGGATTGACGTGCTTCCTCCGCTTCAGCAAGACCCAGGATATACGACAGGTTTTGTTTAGGAGGAATTTTGCCCCTGAAATTGTGTTTGCAATAAGTTTCTATGATATGAACATGCCTTCGTAACAGAGACCAGTTTTTAAAATTTCCAGTATGGTATTCGGGGCCTTTTTCGCAAAGGAACCTGCTCTCTATCTGAGAAGACAGTGTCTCCTTCAAACTCACCACGGCGGATCGTCGGTTATGTCTGACGTCATAAAAGTATGGAAAACACGGAGTCATATGGAAAAACGGAGTCTGACGTCATAAAAATATGGAAAACACGGAGTCATATGGAAAACACGGAGTCTGACGTATTGTCAGCGTGAAATATGGAAAATAGTAATTAAATAATATATAATTTATGCCAATATAAACAAACGGACGAATTTATAATATAACGAATTGGAAATTTTCTGCACTAATTCTGGTATTTCTCTAAAATGTCGTGAAACTATGGATTATTTATTTTTAAATACAATCAAGCAAATAATATTGTTTCTCTTGTCGTGTGACTTGTTCAGTTATACAATATTTGAAGTGATTTTAATGCGGATTTTGTTCACCTCGTATAAAGGTATGTTGATAAAAATATAGTTTATATACTTAATACTGCTAGAATATTTCATAGTCGACTCGATTTACATGTAATATTTATAACACACAAAATCTTGACACAAAACAGATATGCTGCTTGGAAACAGCGTGCAATATTGTTATTTACTAATAAATAGATGCATCCAGCCAACACACAAATCCGTGCAGTATATTAATGGAACCAAAAAAGTTTTCAGGTGTCCAAAAAAATACCTGCACTATAGTGGTAAGTCTATACCAAGTTAATATCTCTAACATATAAGTTTTAGGTTTTTATATATCAAGCCATTGATATTTGAGTGATCAAGATAGGTATTTATAACTGACCATTTGTTCCAGGCTTAATTGCATGATCCATTGTAAAATCGTCTGGCGTTAGGCAGAGTAAAATATAAAGTAGGGTACATCTGGGCACATATAGTGCCACTTATAATTGAAGGGTTAATATAGAAATTTTGTATTTCATAAAGTATTACAATGCTTTTGAAAGGGATAATTTTAAGTGAAACCCACCTGTTGTGGACTTAAAAGTAAAATTGTGAACTGATGATGCAGAACCACTGGTAGCTAGGGATTGTGGGGCACTAAATTTACTGTTTTCGTAGATTTTTGTCCAAGCAATTAAGTTATAAAGAACTGAATAATAGTGTTGCCACATTCATGTAGTTATAGGCAAATGGTTGATTTGTCAAATATCAATTATGGATTGTTTCATTATAAATACTGGAATGCTCATACTGGATGGTTGTACAACAAGAAAATTTGCCTTAGGGCCTGTTTATATGGAAGCCGGGCTGGCCCGCTTAGCAAGACAGCCCGGTAGGCGAGATGAATTTCTCTCGTGTTTATATGAGAAAATTTCATCCCGCTTGCCGGGACAATTTGTTACATTGTATTGTTTTGACAGTTGTTAAAAATAGCTTGCGGCGGTATCTTTGAACTTTCATCCCGGCAACCAGCCTAGCCTGGAGAAATTTCCATCCCGGTAAGCGAGATCTCACCTCTTTCAAGCGAGTCCATATAAACGCACAATAATTTTTACTATAAAAATAACTACACAGCGAGATCTCGCTTACCGGGCTGTCTCGCTTAGCGGGCCAAATTCACTAAGGGTCTGTTTATATGGAAGCCGTTCCATATAAACAGACCCTTAGTGAATTTAGTAAGCCAGTATATCTAGGCTGGCTTGCATTACATATAAAACATCCCCTATAATCCTACAATAGTTGGAAAAAATTAAGAAGCAAAACAAATCTAGAATGAAATATATTTCCCTTTAATATATGCAATTTGTAGTTAGTTGTATATATAGGCACAAAAATTAATGGCTGAAATAGTTTAAAATTCAATACAATGTCATTGTGTTGACATGAAAATATTCTGTTTTTGTAGCCGTAGGTGTTAATTTAAACCATGAGATGCTCAATCGTATGAACTATGAATGCAGATTTGCAGTACGGGTGTAGTGGCATAGACTTGTATGTCACTATGAATCTATGTAAGATATATTGAGCATTAATTGCATGGTTTAAATTAACACCTATGGCTACAAAAACAGTTGGTAGAATATTTTCATGTCAACCCAATTTATTGAATTTTCAACTATTTCAGCCATTTTTGTGCCTATATATACAACTATAACTACAAATTGCATATATTGAAGGGAAATTTACTTCTTAATTTTTTCCAACTATAGTATAGGATTATAGGGGATGTTTATATGTAATGTAAGCCAGCCTAGATACTGGCTTACTTTACTAAGGCAAATTTTGCTTATTGTACAACCATCCAGTATGAGCATTCCAGTGTTTATAATGAAACAATCCGTAAATTTCTTAATTTTATAGTGTGCCACAATCCCTAGCAGTATTCCTAGCAATATCCCTATCCCAGTGGTTCTGCATCGATCATCAGTTCACAATTTTATTTTAAGTCCACAACAGGTGGGTTTCACTTAAAATTATCCCTTTCAAAAGCATTGTATGATTGTAATACTTTATGAAATACAAAATTTCTATATTTATTTTATGTGGCCTAATGCACCTATCAATGTTAACCCCCAGAGGGGGGTAGGTGGGGCATATGTGGGGTATTTGATCATCAATTGCATCCCACCCTGGGGATTTTGATTAGCATTTTGGCCCTGAGTTGGGGCAATTTGAACCAAATGACTGTTATTAATATAGTATTTATTGCAATTTATTGCAAAATGGTGGGGCATTTGACCAATATTTATTGCCCGACGGTGGGGCATTTGATTGAAAATTTGCTCAAAAAATCAAATGCCCCACCTATGCCCGACCCCCCCCCCCCTCTCGGGGGCTTAACATTGATAGGTGCATAAATAACAACGCTGTTTCCAAGCAGCATATCTGTTTTGTGTCAAGATTTTGTGTGTTATAAATATTACATGTAAATCGACTATGAAATATTCTAGCAGTATTAAGTATATAAACTATATTTTTATCAACATACCATACGAGGTGAACAAAATCCGCATTAAAATCACTTCAAATATTGTACAACTGAACAAGTCACACGACAAGAGAAACAATATTATTTGCTTGATTGTATTTAAAAATAAATAATCCATATTTTCACGACATTTTAGAGAAATACCAGAATTAGTGCAGAAAATTTCCAATTCGTTAATATATTTCGCATAAATGATATATTATTGCTGCCGAGCGTAGCTCGGCAGCACACTAATCTCTACACGTGGTGTGCTTACCACGTGACCGCCGAGTTTATAGCCGCTACAATCTCGATTTATGTCATTCTGTCATCCACGGACGGGCCAAAACTAGCTGTTTTGATATTATTTTTTTGTTCCCGGGGGGGGTTTGTTCACAACATGGCGACTGTTATAAACGGACAGAAATATAAAAATCATAAAATAATGCGAATTTCCATAAAAATTCCGAGTAATATTTGTGAAGATGAATGGGTAAATAAAGCACGGTGTTATTTTGTGTTTCTGGCGCAAGAATGATCGACAATATTTTGAATAATTCAGGTAAGGATGGCTTTATTTCGTTCTCGTATAGTGATGTAGTCGTGCCGTGTGCCCTGTCTACCTGTCTGGTGATATATTTTATAATACATGAAGGCATTTATATTTAAATCTGCTGTTTATACTTGTTTAGTCACTTTAGAGTATTAAACTTCGATATAGAGGCATTGAAACAAAATGATTTCAAGAATATATCGGCAATTATAATACCCACTGAATCACTGATCTATTCCCGACCAAATCGACAGA